ATATGTGATATAAATCAAGCTTCAGCTAACATTCTCTGGTTCAAACCCCATCCGTGCATGCAACTTTAAATGGCTTAAAGGGATAGTTCACCCAAAAATGAAAATTCTGTCATTTACTCACTTTCCATTTGACATTAGCCACTGACTTCCATAGTATGGATATATATATATATATATATCACACATATCCATACTATCTCTTTTGTGTTCAAAAACATGGTGACTATTGACCATTTTTATTTTGGGGTAAACTATCCCTTTAATGTTGGAATTTTGTTTCCTATTGACTTCCATTGTAGTTTTTGTACATACAAAGGAGGTTGAAAAGAACCAAAACTCTTTGTTTCCGCAGAAGTCAGTCAGTCATAGAGGTTTGGAATAACATGAGGGCGAGTGCATTATTAAAATTTAGTTGTACTGTCCCAAATTTAAGACTTCTTAAAATGAAAATTAGGCAAAGGAAAAACAGGAATTGAGACTCTGCCTTATGTGATCCGTTAACTTCACATTTAAGTGTAGTGCTGTTGTGTTCTTTTGTTTGCGGTTTCAGAGCAGTTCAATAAATACAGTGCAGTCCTGTCTAACCATAAATATGAGCAAACACCATTAATTGCACGTATCAGACAGTGACTTTGTGAACACATGGAACAAGAGACACAAGAGGAATTTACCCATCATGAAACTCTCAACCTCCAAATCGCAGTCTGGGTCATTCCTACAACAAGAGGAGAATTTGAAAACAAAAGTTGTAAACGTACAACAGCATATTTAAGTCTGAAATGGCACTAAAACATAAGAAATGTTGCTAGTTAACGGTTCGTTTCCTCCCTCTCCTCCACAATCTTAAACTCACAAGACAGGAGTGGAAGAGGACTTATGGCAGCGCTCAGTTGATCGGCTCTGTTTTTCTGGAGTCTCCTCTATAGGAGGGCCTATAGGGAGAGGAGCGGGACTGCAGGTCTGACCCTTCATTTTAGACAATGCCCAAAGCATCTGCAGGACAAACCAGCGACCTGGATCACAAACACAAGAATGTTAAGAGGACAGTCATGAACAAACGGTAAATTACCGGTAATTTTCTATGTATGAAAGCACCTTATATCTATCCAACTAACTTCAAATGGTGTCAGCAGTGATACAGAGAGAACACACTTCACTTCAAAACACCATCATAAATGTTTAAAAGTGCAGAGATGAATCGTTTGTTCTCAGTACAGATACACTACCTATCGAAAGTGTGAACAACAACAAAGTGAGCGAGACCAAGTCGAGTGCAGACTGCTGGTTGATCTCTGCAATTGCATTGATTGGGACCACGAGGAGCAGAGAGACGCGGGAGAACGTGGCACACTGCAGGAACGACAGCAGCACCGCAGACAACAGGAAGTAACCAGCATGCATCACACAGGTCCACAGAGCACACAGACTCAAGCCTAGGAAGAGAATTACACATTTATCCAAAACGTATTCCAATACGTTTTCTTCTTCTTGTTTATTCATTTGCACACAATCTAAGTACCTGCCCAGCCAAGATAGCCTTGGATCATCTGCAGCCTGTCCTCCAGTCGATTCTGCATATTGTCCAGATACATCAGCATGTACCCCAGAGTCCCATTCATGCGCTCCAGCTTCCTCATGAGCTCGGAGTAGAACTGAGCCGTCGTGTTCTGCTGCTGCAGGAAGCCGTTCAGATTGAGCTCTGGATCACAGGATTAACACGGACAGGACCATTTAAGTTTAGTTGCTAATAGTGCTAACGTGTTTTGGATGTTTGCAAATACATTGCTCGGTGGTTGCCGGGTTGTTTCTCGAGAATTACTAGGATGTTCTTAAAGAAAAGTTTGGATATATCTTTGAGAGAAGCGGTCTTTATCAGCGGAAGTTAAAGGGGTCATATGATGCTTTTTTAAAGATCATTATTTCATACACACACACACCACTAGGCAAAAGTTTGGAATTATGGAAATATATATATATATATATTTTTATAAGTCTCTATATACACATACCAAGGCTGTACCAAAACAGTAATGTTGTGAAGTATTACAATTTAAAATAACTGTAAAATGTAATTTATTTCTGTGATCAAAGCTGAGTTTTCAGCATCATTACTCCAGTCTTCAGTGTCACATGATCTTCAGAAATCATTCTAATATGCTGATTTGCTGCTTAAGAAACATTTCTGATTATTATCAGTGTTAAAAACAGTTGCGCTGCTTCATTTGTTTGCTGAAACCCTGACACCCCCCCAAATGTTTCAGATGTTTGGGGTAAGAATTTTTAAAGTAGTCAATTATTAGAAATTTAAAGAAATTAAATCTATCTATCTATCTATCTATCTATCTATCTATCTATCAGGGGTGCTCCGATCAGGATTTTTGAGGCCGATCACAGAAAGCAGTATCTGCCGATACGATCACCGATACCGATCTTTTTAAAGCCTTCTTTTTATCATGTAGAATTATTTATAGTGATGATCTAATCAAGATTTTTAGACATTTATTCAGGGCCTGAATTTCATTTTTGAAAA